GCCTTCTCTTGCAGGGGGCGCGTCCTCCACGGCCGTATCCTGCTGCTGCGTCCCGGCCCTCGGCCGCCGCGGGCCCGGGCCTCCCGCTCTGGGTCCTCGCGCCCCACCCCCTTCTCCATAAGTTCCGAGGAGTAGCGATGCCCGTTTTCAGCTGAAGGGTTGTTCGCTGACCCATTTAGGGGCGATGTGGCTTCCGAGTGGAGCGTGCCGGCCCTGCACCCTCCTGCTGGCCCTGCACCCACCTGCTTGGTCCTGCTCGGCCCTGCACCCTCCTGCTCGGCCCTGCACCCTCCTGCTCGGCCCTGGCACCCTCCTGCTGGCCCTGGCACCCTCCTGCTGGCCCTGCACCCTCCTGCTCGGCCCTGCACCCGCCTGCTCGGCCCTGGCACCCGCCTGCTCTGCCCAGCACCCTCCTGCTGGCCCTGCACCCGCCTGCTTGGCCCTGGCAACCTCCTGTTCAGCCCTGCACCCGCCTGCTTGGCCCTGCTGGCTCCAGCACCCTCCTGCTCAGCTCTGCACCCCCCTGCAGTGGGGGCCGCCTGCCTCCCCGCCAGGCCACCAGGGGGCAGGGAAATGAAAACCCCTCACTTGGAAGACGCATAGAGTAACTTTAGCATAAACAAATACACAGTGTGCGGAGCTCAACAAAGTCGGTGGTGGGTATTTAACAGCTCCTAAAATGAGAGAAACATTTTATTTGAATTGAACAAACTCTCTATCTTGTAACTGGGCCGTGGTCAGGGTGATGCCACCGGAAGACAGCCAGCGTGCTGAGGCTGTCCTGCCTGCAGTCACTAGGGGCCTGCTGTGCCCGATTCCCTTGCTCTAGGCCAGGTTGTCACTGTGAGGGGAGATCTCAGCCCCACTGTTGAGCCCCCAGGGACCCCAGCTCCTCCTGTGACACTGCGGGCAGTGTCCATGAGTGCCTGGCAGGCAGGACTCAGCGGCCCCCCACAGGTGCCTAAGTCGGATCACCACATTTGCAGAGGGCGAGCAGCAGCCTCTCCTGCCCGGCCCTGGGTGGGCACCTGGGTCAGCGCAGCTGCTGGGCTGAGTCCTTAACCGTTTCCCAGCTCTCATCGGTCCCCCTGCAAATGCTGCTCTGTCTCAGCGGGACGTATTTTGCCCTTTATTTCCTGGCTACGCTCCTGATGATCGCCTACAAAAGTAAGTCGTGAGCAAGAGGGCAGGTGGACCTGTTGCTGCTGCCACTGTAACCTGAGCTCTGGTCTGTTGTCTGTCTGCTCCAGGTCAGGTTTTCAGTTACCCTCAGGATTACCTGGTCCTGGACCTGACTCTACTGATTCTGATGGGGATCCTGGAAGCAGCCCGGTTGTACTTGGGTGAGTCGACAGACTGTGAGAACCTTAAGCACTTACCATGACAGACTCCTGGCTTACCCATTGTGATCCTCTAAACAGGCCTTGTTTATAGTGTGGCTCTTGAAGACACTTGGTTTAAGTGCTTCACCAGTTGCCTGCCTGCGGGCCTCACCTTACAGTGTCATTAAGTATTAATTCGTTCATTGAGAAGCTTTGTCTAGGAGACAAGTTACAAGCGGTGTCCTGGGAGAGAGGCTTCCTGTTGGAAGCAGGAGCCACTGGGTAACAGCACTGTCATCGGAGCCAAAACACTCTCCCCTCCCCACAGCCAAAGTGGTCTGTTATGTGCCCACCAGGACAGCGGGACCGAGGGGTGGGAGGCTCCATACAGCTTGTGCAGAAGCACAGTGGGCCCTTTGCCCTATGCCCCCACCCCCCAGCTCACCTCGAGGACCCATCTGCCTCGTGCATTCACAGGCAGGCACTTGGTCCCTAGCACTGACTGCTGCATGTTTGGCCTGCACCTCAGGTCCTTGGCATGTCCAGCCCAGCTGAACACACCCAACCAGCCGAGAGAGGACTGAGGGTTGACAGAAGCACGTCCCAGCCACCCTGCTGAGTGCACTGGGTCTTAGTGTCACTGTCACAGACCCAGCCCAGGCTATGGGCGGGTGGCGAGCAGGAATAGAACTGCTAGGCCTCTGCCCCACCCAAGCATCCCCCACTGTGGGCTCCCAGGCGCCCTGGGCACGCGCCGTCAGCTGGCAGCATTTTCCATGACTGCCCCATTTGTGAAACACAGTTTTGTTTTTGTAAGAACACATTGACTTTTTTAGACTAAGCTTAGCCCAGAATAAAATAGTTTTGGAAATTTTAAACAAAATCCCCTCAGTCCACTTGGAATTAGAGAAAGGTGTCAGAATGCACTTGGGGTGGTTTTTCAGGAGCCCAACCCTCTATCCCACTTGCACAGCTGACTCGAGAACAAGGTGAGCACAGAGCTGTGGCAGGTCCTCATCCTCCTGAGGGGCTGGCACCTACCTCTGTGCATTTTGCTGTCCAACACTTTGAGTCCCCTGTGGTGGGCAGTCTTTCACTGGACACCCTCAGCCCTAGAGGCTTGTGCTGGTGGAGTCTGGCATTTGTCCTGCAGCCTCACCCTCCTGGGTGACACTGGTGGTGGGTCCTGAACGGGTGCCCCGCATCCTGGCACTCACCCTGATTGTTCTGCTCTCCAGGTACCAAGGGCAACCTGACGGAGGCCGAGCTGCCACTGGCCGCCAGCCTGGTCCTCACCGTGGCCAGTTCCCTGCTGACCGTCTATTTCCTGCTGTGGCAGACCCTGGTGCTGCGGGCAGACTCGGCCCTCAGTACCACACTCCTGACGCTCCACGGCCTGGAGGCCATCCTGCAGGTGGTGGCCATCGCTGCCTTCATCAGATAGATGGGCGACCTCGGCCCCCGGACAGCCCTGGACAGAAGCCCTCTTGGGAGCCTAGCAATCCCCACCCTATGGCACAGAGGGAAGGGCATTTTCCTGCCAATTGGTCCCATATGACAGGGTCAGGTGGTTTGGGCGGTTATGAGTCATCTTGGGGGCAGGACCAGGATATAACAGTGAGGCCACCTGTTGGGGAGAGCTGCAGGCTGAGTCAGAGACTGCCCTGGGACAAATCCAGGGATGGCCCCAAGCCAGCAGGGGGCCAGTGGGCTTCACCCTGTCACTGGCCAGCTCCCTCGAAGGTATGCACAGAGGCCGGCCAGCCACACCAGGATGGTGCACGTTTTCTCGCTGTGACAGCACTCTTCACACAGGTCTTTGTGTTCCGTAGTGTCTACCCTATGGGAAACAGCTGTGTGGGTGGGACAGTGAGCCAGGGGTCCTCAGCCACTCAGGCCAAGTCCTGGATGGACAGCTTCCAAAAGAAAAGATATGGGAGAGCCAGTCAGCCCCAGTGTGGGGCACCTCTGCAGCAGCCACAGCTCCTTCCCTGGGGGTTCTGGCCTAGCCGCGACACCCATGGCGGGCAGCACAACTGACAGCCACCTCAGGGCTCAGATGTTCTAGCCTCCGTCATTACAACGCCAGTCACGTTTGCACCCAGCGCCAGGCGAATCCAGGTCCGCTGTAAGCTGATCCTCTCTACTAACTTTCCTCCTTTCGCTCCTGTTGCGCGTTTTCTATGTGGAGTAACGTGTTCAAATGGGTGTGTAGTTTCTCTTCATATTTTTCAAATAAAGAAGTGTTTACACCTCCCTGAGTTTTTCCTAATTAAGGCCACCTACCTCCTCCAGGGCTCCCCCTTGGTACCACAGCACACTGTGCTGGGCCGGGCTGTAGGTACCCAAGGCCGAGGGGCCAGCCTCCCACCTCTGGCTCTGGACCAGTGGACCTGCAGCCCTGGAGGTGAAGGCACTTGCTTCCCTGCCACCTGTGCTGCCATCTGGGCACTGGCCCTGAGGCTGGGGGAGGGCCCTCCCCTGCAGGCCCCAGCGGGGCCCTCAACACACCCATCACTGGTGACAAAGAGCCAGGGACACTGTGGCTCCAAATGGCCAAAAACCAGGCTGACTCCAGACTCCTGACACCTACCAGCCAGTGTTGCTAATCTGAGGACAAGGCCACATGTCTCAGAAGCTGCTCCCTTCAGGCTTGTTTCCCCCTTTGCCACACAGGCTCAGCCTCCAGGAAGGGTGAGGGCAGTCGAGTGCCTTCCCATCTGGGTGCTCAGCAGTAGGGAGACAACCAGGAAGCCAGGAGGGCTGGGCCCGAGGACGAAGGCCACTTCCTGTGCCCATTCACAGGCACACCTGTGATACCTTGAGACCTGTCCCTGGGGTCCTGGCACCAGGAAAGTGCGGTGTGGCTGACCCTCCAGGTTGGGCGTGCCTCCCTGTCCTGGGGCTTCCCCTAGGAAGTGCTCTGTGCCAGCTGAGAGTGAACACACACCAACTGCCCTGCCCTCCTGGGATCAGGCCCTGAGACCCTCTGGTACGCTCTTCCACTCCTCCACCCCAGGAAAAATAGCTGGAGCTTTGGGGTCCCTGCCCATGGCTTGTGGTGCCCACCTCCGCCTGGGCCTGCCCTCTGCCCCTTCTCTACTTCCTTCTTGCTCAGCTGGGTGGACGGGGGCTCCTGGAGCCAGTTCAGGAGGAAGGACACCTGCCCCACGTGGGTGCAGGAGGGAGGCGCTGTCCCCAGCACTGGCCAGCGGTCCTCTGCCCTGGCGCTCAGCACAGCCCAGGCCCCACACCCCCAATCTTCCACCGACACCCCATCCCTCAGACGCCCGGGCCGGGCTGGGTGTCACAGAACAGAGCCTGGTCCTGGGTTGAGAAGGGCGCCCCCAGCCTTAGCCGCCCGCTCGGCCTGCAGCGCGGCCCGGGCTGGGGAAGCGGGGACCCTGCCCCCGCCGGCACCTGAGGCTGAGCCGCCTGGAGCTGCCACCCCCCGGGCACCAGCCCTGCGCACGGGGCGCAGC